ATGAAAAGCCAAGCTGGAGAGGTGTTACTTATGATACCAGTGCAAATAGAGCAGGTAGTGGGGAAGTGAGGTGCTCTCCTGCCTCCTTGGGGTGGAAGCACCCTCAAAACCACCCACCCCAAGGCCATCATTGTATTGTTTCAAGAAAAGTCAGGTTTTCCTTGGCTGCTGCATTCATTGCTTGGATGGGAAGTCATCTAGGCATGTCACAACAGCCACCTCCACTGCCTTTCCTTCCACCCCTTCCTCCTGCAACGCTCTGCGACGCGACCCTTGGCAGGACGTGGAAATAACCCTCGTTGCACCACCACCAGAGCCCAGCACGTCCCTCCTGCAGGACCATGTGTGCCCTCCCTCCCTCCCAGCCACAACTCAGCCATCCCAGGGTGCACTTGCGCCTCCCTGCTCTGTGTTCAGGTTGTTGCTTTATTTTTCTTCACTTTTAAGCTTCAGAAATATTTAATCAAGGGAGGATTTACATTTAAACCGCTGCGCCATGTGAAGTTGCATACTGGGGAGTACTTAACCCCTACTACTTGCTAGTTGCTGAATATGTGCTCTGATTACTGCGACTGCAGTTGCACTGTTGGTCTGTCTATCTGCTTGACTTTCTTCCTAGAGCAAGTAGAGAAATTTAAGAGGAATAAATTTGCAAGAAAAATATCAAGTCTATGCTCTGTTTTCACTCTCTTCAGCGCTTTACAGGTAATGGTTAGACCTAGATTCTTCTTTCCAAAATAAGTAACAGTCAGGGTATTATCATACAGCACAGCAGTAAACATCTCTTTGGGCTATAAAGTCTCTTTGTAAAGGATGCTGAACTGAGAAGTCTAGAAATTCACTGATGATAAATAAACAGGTTCACAAAATTGTTTCCTGTTCATATAATGCTTTTTATATGCAAATTTTTTCCTGCTGCTGTACAGCACAAAATGTCACATCCAAAACTTTGTGGACATGTGTTTTTACCAGGTAAAAAAATTTCATTCAGTAAAAATGTCCCCTTTTTATTTTGAACATTTCTTTTTTTTTTTTTTTTCATCTTACTTGCTTATATTTTGGAAGAAAAAAACCCCTTCGTTAAACGTGAAAAGAGAAGTCTTCTCCTTAATTAGTTAATCCCCTCACGCTTTCCCTCACGCTTTCTCTCCCTTAAATAAAAGTCAAAACTTCGCATTTTTGAAGCTTTCCCAGATTTCACTGTGCTGGGGACATGACTAGAAAAATCTCAATGTAGCCTGCAAAACCCCTTGGTTTTGACAAACTGGCTTTTTAAATCAGGAATTTTCCCCCTGAAGATGTCTGACCCTTC